TGGTGGTGGTGGTGGTGGTGGTGGTGGTGGTGGTGGTGGGGTACCAGAGACAGAGAGATACAGGGAAGTGCCAGTGCAGGGGGCAGTGTAATAATTTATACCAGTTCCAGTTCAGAGATTTGGAATAATGATAGGTAAACTGTATTTCATGAGTTCCTTATTGGGAACTGTTGTTTGATATGAATTCCATTTCTTAACACAGTTTTGTTTATAAAACTGCAATAATTATCAGTACGCGACTTGAAACACATCAGAGGCTAATAGAGAGTTACCTTGCACTCTTAGCATTTGACTTTGCGGTATGTGAATTTGTTATATGTATTTGGACTTAGACAACTAATATATACTAATAAATACTGTTACATGTGTAATGTGGAAGGCCTTTATGTGTAGCATCTGTGTAAGATTTATTTCAAGAAAAGGGGTTTGCTGGTATAAAACAAAATGGAGAACTTCTAATGTTGGGAAAACCAAAGAAGGAACATTTATTCAGAGATTTGTTGGGGGAGCGTGGGGGGTTGCTTTGCCATTTTCCAAAATAAATAATTGTAGTTAGTGTAGGTTAGTGGAATTTAGTTTTTTTCTGGATATACTTGGGAGGTTCCATTGTGTTCTCTTCCATTAGCCGTTACTTACCTAGAAAAGAATCCAGCTTCCCAAGTTCCATGAGAAAAGGTCAAGGACTGATTTGTCTCTACAGGGTTATATCTAGCTTTGTCCGTATTTCTTCTGCTAGTTGGGCTGGTGGCTTTATGAGCACATATCTCTGGCCACTGGGGTCATCACTGTCAGCTGCCAGGTTATTTCCAGTTTTTCACAACTTTTAACCATGTTCACAGGGTAAGGAAGCAAAATACTCTTTGTCCAGAACAGAAGTTCATCAATGCCTAGAACAAGACCATGTTCACAAACCTACTCTTAAAATTTCCAAATTTGGAATCTGTCTCAGCAGCTCCCCAGAGCACTGTCTACAACTGCAGTTCTTAATCTCCCAAACTTCTTTGACTATCATTCCTATGCAAGGATCCTCTTAAGCACATCTCAAAAGAAGAACCAAAAGGCTTCAACTGACTATTGAATCACATTATGGACATTTGGGAAACCTCCTTAAGTACAGAAAGTAATTTCCCCTCTAACAAATACTTGCCAGCAGGCTCTGTTCTGACTATTGTATAAAGGAATGAAAATTCTCCCCTACACGTGAAAAGGTGCCCAACATCATTAGTCATTAGGGAAATGCAAGTCAAAACCACAATGAGATACCAATTCACATGCGCCAGAACGGCAGTAATAAAAAAGACAATAACAGATGTTGGCAAGGATGTGGAGAAATTGGAACCTTCATATGTTGCTGGTGGGAATGTAAAATGGTCCAGTGCTTTAGAAGGTGGTTTGGCATTTCCTCAAAAAGTTAAGCATAGAGTTACCATATAACCTAGCACTTCCACTCCTGGGTACATACTGAAGAGAAATGAAAATATACGTCCACACAAAGATTTGTATGTGGGTGTTCCTAGTAGCACCATTCATAATAGGCAAAAAGCAGAAACCAACAGCTGATGAATGGGTAAATGGAATGGGGTATATCCAGACAATGGAATATTATTTAGTCATAAAAAGGAACGAAGTGTATTAATGCTACAACACAGAGGAATCTGGAAAACATTATACTAAGTGAAAGAAACTAGATACAAAACACAGTGTATCATATGGTTGCATTTATATGAAATGTCCAGAATAGGCGAGTCTATAGAGACAGAAGGTAGATTTGTGGTTTCTAGGAGCTGAGGGAGTGGGGGAAATAGGGAGTTACTGCTAATATGTATGAGGTTTTTCATGGGGGATGATGAAAATGTTATGTAGAGAGTGGTGATCTATATATTTGTAAATATACTAGAAATTAATGAATTGTAAGCTTTAAATGAGTGAACCTTACAATATGTGAATTATTTCTCAATAAGGTCGTTATTTAAAAAAAATCTTGCCTAGATTCCAACAGATATTTAGGCTGTGTATTACAGTTTGTTATAAAATTTGGGAAAAGTCTGTGGTATGAGTTGAGTTTCATTTGGAAGAGTGATCTCGATCTGAGTCAGAAAGCTTGATACAACCCGATTTGCAGAGTAAACACTTGGTTCATACTAGAGGAAGCAAGGGATTGAGTTAGTAGGCTCCTTATAGCTGTAAGGGTATAAGAACAATGGTTTGTATAGCAGGTGGTCTCCAGGAAGAAGGACATTGCTTTCCTCCTTTTCTGGTACTTTACTTGCTATCCTAGAGGCCAAGTATAATTTATTAATAAGTACCACCAAGTGATAAGTACACATGTAAGAGCAAGAGCTGATTCTCTTTGGGAAGAGAAGTTTGGGGAAATTAGAATTCCTTTTTAATTTGATTTGGGGAATTTTCAGGTTTTTTTTAAAGGATTTTTTTTCTTCATTGGACCTACATTCACCCATATCTATTAAGAATTGGAGAGATTCCATTTGGGTTAGATCCATCCAAGCTGAGTTCAAGTTCAGCTCAGTTCTCATAATTTTACAAGTTTATTTCTTACCCTGGGATGATGACAGATGTTTATAAATACTCACCTTCCTCCTTTCTGCCATTCCCTTTTCCACTCGGAACCCTGGTTTGTAGAATGTCTTGTCCTGATGTCCTAAGGAGGTCAAAGATGAACCCATTCTTAAAGATTACCACCCATGTCTAATCATTGGGTAACCAAAGCATGGGGATGAAGTTTGGTGCGTTTCCAGCCCTGTTGCCAGGTTGGCAGTTGGTTCTATGTTGTGGAAAAAGTTGCTGCTATTTGCCATTTATTTTCTGAGTGACATTAGGGGGGTTTGAAGCAGATGGAGAACCTGTCACCACCTGCTGATTTACCACACAGAGGATGGCTCTTCTGCCTTATTGCTTTTTCCTTAGATAGCTTCTTTGTCCTTGGCTATTTTAATTTTTCTCCTGGTCACTTTTCCTTTTTTCTAGTCATCTGAGCAGAATTTTATTCCTCTCTTTAACTCAGAGTCACTTTTTTTTTTTTTTAATATTTACTTATTTTATTTTTCAGTCACTTTTAAGGCAGTTAAGGTTGTACAGGCTCTGGAGCGAGTCTCCCACATATTAACTCTGCAACTTTGGTCAAGATATTTAGCTTTGCCAAATCTCAGTTTCTTCGTGTGTAATTTGGGACTCATGATAGTATACCAACCTAGAGGACTTGCTAGGATTAAACAAGGTGAGCTCTGTGGAGCACTTACCTGACGTTTATTGAGCATTTACTGTATGCTTTTTGAAGGAGACCAACAAGCAGTTAGTCCTACGGCTCCTGATAATAACAAAACAAGTTAAAGTTTGCTTAGTTATTCCTTCAGTAAAGTGCTCATCACTCTGTGCTGCAGTTTTGTCAGCTGTAAATAGAGGATAACCTTGCAGAGAGTTACCATGAAAATTAAATGAGATAGTATGTGCAAAATGGTACTTAGCACTGTACCTGGCATATGGTAAGCTCCTCATGAATGCCAGCAATTTTACATTTTGAATCATTCCTGTACTTTCAGTGGAAAAAATGAAAAGGCTCCATGGCCACACCATGGGACTGAGTCATTCTGGGTTGGTCAAGCACTGTTCCGGGGTTGGTGTGCACGGCTAGCAACTTGATTGCCCCTTTCTTCCTCTTTCAGCTGCACAGTTGGACAGCATTGGCTTCAGCATCATCAGGAAATGCATCCACGCTGTGGAAACCAGAGGTAAAGTAGTTCAACAGATGGTGTTACTCTCAGTGAAGGTTACGCATCTGGTGAGGTGGCAGACCTGCTACCTGCTGTTTCCCAATTTCAAGTGACTCATTAACTCTCCAGATGCCATTGGCGGTGTGTTTCCACAAGTCCTGTTGCTCTGAAGTGCAGAGGCTCTCAACTGATTTAGTCGTCAACCTCTTTGGCTGATCAGAAGATTGTTTTAAATGCGTGCATACCAAATACATAGGATTATAAGGAATCCAGTTACTGAAATTCAGTTAAAATACTAAAACCATGGTTGTGATATAATAATATATGTGTTTCTTTGCTAACACTTTCAGTTACAGTGGTGGGTCTGATAACTAGCATAATTCAGAAATAGTGATAGTTCAGGGTGTCTGTAACAACTGTAACGTGCTCGGAAAACATCTGGTTTCTGACCAAGTTGCAGGTACTGCTAATGCTGTGATTTGTTGCTTATATTGCAGTGGAAGGAAATGTTCAATTTCACTTACAGGTTAGTGGAAATAAAGGTGTGGTTGTTTTCCTGTGGAAGTTGATAGGCACCCTGAATTCTCTAGTGGGCCACTTGGGGTCTGTACACCCCAGGTTAGGAACCCTGGCCTGGGCACTATCTGGGTAGGGAGAAGGGGTCAGTCCCCTGTCTTCCAGCTGTGGTGCTGCGGTCAGGCCATGCCTGTCAAACACTGACCTCTCCTGGGTCCTTAGGAACAGCGCTTTGAGGTCAGGGAAGCTGGTTCATCCCTGTGATCTCCATCCCCTCCGCAAAGATTGCCGCAGAGGGGATTCCTCAGTTCCGGCACTTTCGAGCTTTGAATGCACTGTCTGTTGTACGCAGAGAAAAGCTGATCACAGTCTTTCCACTGGATTTCATCTGAACCATTGTCAAAGATGAAAATCTTATTTATTCTACAGCCTCTCAACCCTCCAGCCCTTTTTATTTGTTGGAGGAAGTTCTGTCTTTTAAAACAGAAATATGCCAGTTCAGAAATATAAGCATGTTTATAAAGGCTATGAGGTACTGAGTAGAGGGGGAGAAAAAAAATACCCTTATAGTATAGTTCTATTCCTAGGTATCTAGTCAAAAAGTATTCTTTCCAAGGTAATTATTTTAATGTGTGCTAACATTCTTATAGATGTTTCCTTATTTCTGCTATACCTTCCTTCAATGAAGAGTTAAGGTAGCTTGCAAAGATATGTAAAATATAGGCAGAGAATGTAAAGTAGTAGGCGAGATTTCTGGGAACTGATCTTGAGGAAAATAAAGTCATGGGCCAACTTGAGCCACAAAGATGTTTATACTATGGTGTTAAGGTAAAAATATCGGAAACTGGCCAGATGTCTCAAAAATTGGTTAAATCAACAGTGTGCTCCATGCATGCAGTGAAACACTGAATCACTAAAAATGCAGTGGAAATACATTTATTGAAATCCAAGATTTTCATTATTATATATTAAGTGAAAAATGCAAGTTACGAACCAGCCTGCCCACTCTGAACGGGTTCTGGGGATAGTGGGGAGGGGAGAGATCATACCTGCACAGGTTGTCAGTGGGTGTCTCTGCTGTTTTTCACTATCTTCCATGGATTTGTCTGTTTTCCATAACTGCAGTTTCTACTTTTTTTTAAGTGTGTATTACTAAGGTAATTTTTCAACAGCCATTTGATTTTTGCTCATCATTTTGAAAGAAAAGAATGAGAACTCAGAGGTACAGGGTTAACGAAGGTAAAGGCATAAAAATGGAGCCAAAAATGAGTTCAAAACAGAAGTCCCCTCCCCTCTACGATGAAGTTCACGTACATGCTGGAGGTGGGCCGACCACTTTGTCTCTCAGTTTTCAGCCGCCAAAACCAAGAGGGCCACCTAATCATTTAAAATCCTTCATAGAATCTGTGCGATAAATGCAAACCCATAGCTCAGGAGGATGACTTTTTCTGATATAAAACCAGAAAATATGTGCAATAAGCAGTAGAGGAAGAAGAGGGTCACCAGTTGGTCTGGTCTCTTAGCCTCTGCCTCCTCGTCCCCTCCCCCTCTAAAATGAGGATGAACATGATGTATTTTAACAGCTAGCGAAGTTTTCATTTAGCACAAAGAGGAATCAAGGACGGTGTGTGTTAAATGCCATTTTTGCATAAATGCTTGGAAGGAAGTGAGTTGTCTCCCTACTGCAGTGCGTGTATGTACACACATATTGGTGGTGACCAGAGGTGAACAGACTTCCCGTACTCTCTGAGGTCCATTAATCATCCAGCAGGAGCTGGGAGTGTGTCAAGCTCCAGGAAAGCACAAGGACAAAAGAAGTAGAGATGTTTCAGAAAGTATAAGCCCTTCAAGCCACCACATGGCTGAATAATGATTCTGCTACTCAGTAACTTGGGGCCCATCCCTTCGGAGACCCGAGGTCTCCTAGCCGGTGAAGCAGGCAGGATGATGTACATGCCTTTTTTTTTTTTTTTTTTTAAAGCTGCGTCGGGTCTTGGTTGCAGCATGCAGGCTTCTCTCTAGTTGCAGCGCGTGGGCTTCTCTCTAGTTGTGAGGCATGAGCTTCTCTCTAGTTGTGGCATGTGGATTCTCTCTCTAGTTGTGGTGTCCAGTCTCCAGGGTGCATGGGCTCTGTAGTTTGTGGCACGTGGACTCTCTTGTTGAGGTGCACGAGCTCAGTAGTCATGGCGCGAGGGCTTAGTTGCCCCGCCACATGCAGGATCTTCGTTCCCCTACCAGGGATTGAACCCACGTCCCCTGCATTGGAAGGCAGATTCTTTACCACTGGACCACCAGGGAAGTCCTGATGTACATGCTTTTACAATCCATTTGAGCTGTAAAATCCTCTCATTCCAGACCACTTCCTTTTGTTTATCAGTTCCACTTTTGTAGAGGTCTGTTGAAGACACTGCAGAATCAGCCTTTTCCCAAGTTTATTCCAGGAAATTTTGTTTTGACCCGAAACTGATGAATGTTTTATTCATTCTGTCCTGTATTGTAGACTGATCTAGGTGCTGGGGATATAATGGTAAAGAAGACAGAATCACTGTACTTAAAGTTTACATGGTAGTTGTGGGGGAAGACAAACAAGAAACCAAATAAGAAAGATGATTTCAGATACTGTTAACTACTATAAAGAAAAGACAACTGGGTAAGGCAGTGGCCAATAGTGTTGGTCATTGGGATGCTTTCTATTGAAGAGGTTGCATGTAAGCTGAGACCTGAATGATGAAAAGATCTGGGAGAAGAGTGTTACAGGTAGAGGGAATCTTGTTCAGAGGCTGAGGTTTGGAGGCATGAGCTTTGTATATTGGAGTAACAGGAAGGCCATCGGTGCTGGAGCAGCATGAAGGTGGTTGATAAAGCAGTCAGAGTTGGTGGGCCTGTGCTCAACCATGTAGGGCCTTACAGGCCGTGGTAAGTTTTGGTTGTGATCCAGATGCAATGGGAAGCCATTGGAAGGTTTTTAAGAAACGAGATGGTTTGAACTGATTGATACTTTGAGAAGCTCATTTTGGGTACTGGGTGGAGAATGGACATCAGGGGAATAAGAGGCAGCAAGTGACCAGTTAGTTGAGAGGTGTCAGATATGATGGGCTTAGGACCAGCAGGAGAAAAGTTATTTCATATCACTTGGTCTGAATGTAAATGATACAGTGATGATCTAATCCTTGCAGTTAAATGAACAAAGTACTGAGGCGGGTTAGTTTTGGTTCTTTGTTTGGGTGTTTGGAGGTAAACCCCTTTTAGCCTATTTGAATGTTTTCTTGGGTTCAAGAAAGGTGACCCACTTTTTTCTTTTTTTTTTGTGGTATGCGGGCCTCTCACTGTTGTGGCCTCTCCCGTTGTGGAGCACAGGCTCCGGATGTGTAGGCCCAGCGGCCATGGCTCATGGGCCCAGCCGCTCCGCGGCACGTGGGATCTTCCCGGACCGGGGCACGAACCCGTGTCCCCTGCATTGGCAGGTGGACTCTCAACCACTGCGCCACCAGGGAAGCCCCTCGTTTTTCTTTATGAAGAATATTTGCACCACAAATGAATGGATTTTCTAATTTCTCAGTTTTGGCTAATAATATTGTCAAAAATTAAAAATGCCCCAACACCTCAATACTTGCCTTCTCTATGTGAAAGTAATTTGTAAAGTGTTCATCCTTTTCTGTAGTATGAAAATTTTTTTATCATTTCATTTTTGTCTTTTTAAATTAAAAAAATGGTTAAATATGACATGTTTAAAAGTATATATTTAGCATCTTTCAAAACTCTTCAGGTGCTGCCTTGGCAAGAGAAGAGGGAGGTTTCCTGCCCCTCTGATGACTGAACTAATACAAAGGCTGAAGTGTGCAGCACATCCATGAAATCCTAGACAGTTGTACCAAATCCCACTCCTTCGCTAAGAGCAGAGCTGAGTGACAGGGGACTTTAATTAGAGCAGCTTTTAGAAGGCCCGAGAAAATGAAAAAAAGTGCATTTGGCTGGGTTGGCCTGACTTGTGTTCTGACGTGCCTCTAATTAAATCATCACTGTTTCTCTTCTCAGGGATCAATGAGCAAGGGCTCTACCGAATCGTGGGGGTCAGTTCCAGAGTGCAGAAGCTGCTGAGTATCCTGATGGGTGAGTGCAGTGGCTCTGCCAGGCAGTTCCCAACGGTTGAAGGGGGAGCCTCTTGAGAAGGAATCTGGGTGTCCAAGAGGTAAATCCCAGAAATCAGCTGACCCACTCACCAGCGGTCATGGCCACAGGCATTACTGGAAGAGACATTGAATGGAATTGGACAAAACAAAAAATGGCCGGTCCCAGGCTCCACACCCTCTCTGTGGACTTGGTTACCACCAGTCCAAGTAGCGCTCCACCACTCGTGTGACCGCCACACCCTGCTCTGTCTTTAATAGCTCATGACTCCTTCCGTCCTCTTTGGAGACCCGGCACTTCATGGGGCACACCCATTGCCCAAGGAAGCTCAGTCCTTCTAGCCTGCAGAGGACCTCAGATCTCATGTTCCTAGTGACTGAGGAGGTGTCATCCCATGACTCCCAGATAAAATGTGTAGAAGCAGATAAGTCTTCTGATCCTCTTTGCTTCTAGATTTCCACCTAGTCTCTGTCATTTGAGCAGCAGAAGCTCCTTTGCAGCTGGCTGGTCTAAATATAAAACCACTATCTCTAAATGTGCAGCCTTTGAATCAAAAGGCCATGAGCCAATGAGCCAAATTTGCCTAGGCTGCAGATTTCCTGTATTTTTAGATACGAATGCAGGCAGCCTCGGTGAGTCACGTGGATCTAAATGGCAAACAGATAAGATTTCACAGATCCGTGGCTGTTACTCATCCCCATGGAAGCCTAGCCATGCAGTGTTAGAGATAGACTGTCGCTCAGGGTCCCCGCTCAGTGTTTTGGGCAGGGACACTGCTCTTTGTGAGTATTTGTTTTTTTTTTTTTTTTTTTTTTTTTTTTTTTTTTGCCATCCCAGTTTATGAAAATAATTTTCATATGTATAGAAATCTCATCTCTCATGTTGATCAGAAAAACTCTCTTTTCGAGAGAGCTACTTGCCTCTTGTAAGCAAAAGTCTCATGTATGGTAGTTGCAGTGAGATCAGTTTGTTTAGCCATTCACCCTATGAAGGACAGCTGGGTTATTTCTAGTCTGGGGGTGAATAATGCTGCTGTAAACACTGTGTACAGGTTTTTGTATGAAGATTAATTTGTTTCTGTGGGATAAATGCCCAAGAGTGCAGTTGCTGTGTTGTACGGTGATATGGTTAATTTTTGAAAAGTTCTAATGTAAGAAAGAAATAACAGTCTAACAGGTATCAGTCCTCAGTCTTTCATTTCCAATCAGAGCTGCAAACATTTGTGGAGTGTCTGCTCTCTGAAGCAGATTGTCAGGTGCTAGAGATGAAACTTTAGAAAGAGTCATTCTTTGTTTGCAGAGTATCCAGGTAGGGGGAGTTATGCATGTATGTGAAAACTGTAATGTAAAATATGATGCTGGCACCCAGTGGGAGCTGGATCTAGAAGATGGAGTAGTGAAGGAGAGAACAGAAGAATAATTCAGATTCAGGACATGTCATGAACCAAGAGTATTGATTTCACTAGTAGTAGTATTATTATTTTAATATTTGAAAGTACTTGAGGCTGGAACAGGAGAGTGAAAGTTGAAAAGCTGAAATGGCCCCTTTGGTTGAGGAACTTGAATATTGTGCTAAGGAGTTTGGGTTTTTTTTTCTCTGTAGGAAGTAAGATGCTATTAAAATTTCAAAGTAGTGGAGTTGTATGTGTTAGTACTCTTTTTACACAAAAGTGTCAAGAAGACAGTTCAGAATAGCCATTTATTTGTTCACATTACTGGTGAGTCCAAGATGGCAGAAGCATGGCAGGGTCTGGTGACTCCACATTTGTTGGAGGCTTTCCCACTCTTTTCTTCTGGCTTCTCATTATTTGTAAGCTTTACTTGTCTTCATATTGACTATATTCTCTGTGGGAAGGTCCCAGATAATCCAGCCTCAGTGGTCCTTGAAGCTTGTATCACTGAAAGGAGCGTGTCTTTCTTGATGGTTTTGACAGAAGGTCCCAGGGTGGACTTTGATTGGTCCATATGGGGGCCATTCACATGATTCATTTCACAGTCTCAGGCCAGTCACATGACGTACAGAAGATTGATCCCGATGGCCTGGATCCTGTGCCTGTCTCTGGTGATCCCATGCCACCTCTAGGAGGTTGGTGGGGGGTGGGGGGGCGGGCAAGTAGGGTGTGTGAGGGGTTAGTCCATAGAACCCTGGGGACTGAGCAGGATTGATAGAATGATAGAGGAGTGCTTTTCTGAAATAATGCTACTGGGTGATTTTTTTGAAAAAGTATGTCCAACATAGGTGTAACTCTATCAGATGCTAGTTTTAGGAGGATAATGCTGGCAGCAATGTGGAGCACACATCTGATCATGGAATCATGTGGAGGAAGAAGACAGTTGGGATAGATTAGGCAGAGCATACCTGATCAGTGGCTGAACCAGATAGCTGCTCTGAGGTCAGGAAAAAAGGACAGGCTCAAAATGACTGGAGAAAGAGAATCAGTGGGATTTTGTAACCAACTAGATACAGGGGAGTCGAAGGGGCAGAGAGATTTCAGAGGCAGCAGATGATTATGTAAGGTGACACTAATGAAAAGAAATACGACATTTTAGACGGGTTTGCTAATTTAAAAAAGAACCATCTTAGCTCATTTGTGCTAAGCAAAGAGTGGTATGAAAAGATCTTGTTTTTATCACTTCCCTTAGTGACCTTTGAACAAGATATTTGTCCTGTTCTCTTCCTCAGTTTTCCTAGGGACAGACAAAATAATCATGAACATCTCAGAAATGTCATGAGAAATAAAAACCAGCAGCTGAAAAGTCACAAGGCCAGCTGTCTCTGCCAGGAGGACATTACAGATAGACTGGATCCCAAACTGAGGTTCAGCCAGAGTTGAGAGATGACCACAGTGCAAGATCTAATCAAAAGTGTTGAGAATGGTATCTGGGATTCTTACTATCAATTAAGTTAAACATGAGATAGTTAAACATGAGATCTTGGAATTGAGGGATCACCCCATTAGGTCAGAGAAACTCCAGACCTGAAGGCAGAGCCCTGTCTCCCTTCCCCTTTGTGAACATGCTCTCATCTTCATCAGTTCGTGGTACTTGTACTATACTGGGTTAGCCAAGAATGTAAAAAAATATGGCTCCTATACTCCAAAGCCTCTCCCTGACATGGCTGGGTTGAGTGTGAACCATTCATTCCCTATTCTGGGTTCTATATTCACTGGATGCCCTATTATGTACCAGGTACTAAGATTTGGATTATTGGTCAGTCTCTCAGAAATGGAAGAGTGCATTTTTATTACTGAAAATATGAGTTAGAATTAAGTAAAACCAGAGGTTTCCTTTGATCACTTGGAGTTGGCTTTGTGTACTCTTGATACATTGGGGGACTTTAGGTAGGAGGAAGAATAGAAGAGCCAGACTATGAGAACATCGTATTTTGCTGGTTAGGATTCCTTAAGAAAGCTTGCCAGAATTTCTCATAGCATATGCGGTGTGGCTTCCTGCTAGTGTCATACCAAGTGCTGCCCCTCATCCCTTCCTCCTGGCAACAGAGGTCATTAGTCTTTGAAGAGTGAAGAGGAGGAAGACTTGTAGATTCCTAGAAATAGCGTGGCTTCCATGCGTGTACTGTTTGTTTGTTTACTTTTTCTCCGCCTGTATGTTAAGTAAAGATAAATCTTTCTAAAGTTTAGCTCAACATTTAAAAAATATAGACAGCTCTGTCTATGCATGTTCAGTACATGTCTGTCTCTCCCTGTATAGTTTTTTATAAGAGATTTTTAAAAATTAATTAATTTATTTTTGGCTACATTGGGTCTTCGTTGCTGTGTGGGCTTTCTCTAGTTATGGCAAGTGGGAGCCTCTCTTCTTTGCAGTGGCTTCTCTTGTTGTGGAGCACAGGCTCTAGGCACGCGGACTTCAGTAGTTGTGGCTCGTGGGCTCTAGAGCGCAGGCTCAGTAGTTGTGGTGCGCGGGCATGTGGGATCTTCCTGGACCAGGGCTCGAACCCATGTCCCCTGCATTGGCAGGTGGATTCTTAACCACTGTGCCACCAGGGAAGTCCCCTGTATAGATTTTAAATACCTTTGTCTGATTAAAAGTTATGAGTGGGCATAGTAGCAAATTTGGAGAAATAGAAAAAGTAGAAAGAAGAAAAATAAAAGTCGGGCAGACCAGAGACAATCTTTACTGACCATTTCATCATATGACTGTCACCTTTTAAATATAATATTCTATCATATAACATAAAAAATACAAATTGGAGTCACACTGTGCATATATAATGCTTTTAGCAGTCTTCTTTCACATAACAATACAGTGTCTATTTTATGTTACTCAGGTTCCTCTAAAGTGTGACTTTTTTGGGTCGTGTATTGGGTAGGTCAGCCCCCTATTCCCAGATCCATAGACTGATTTCAGTTCTTCATCATTCTAGAAAGCACTCAGGTGAACATCCCCATGGGACAGGATAGCAGAGGTTTAGAGTGTACATTTTGGAGTTAAGCAAGTTATAATTAAACTGCTTGTCCATTTGACTTTACACAAATTATTTAAGCCCGTCTAGTCTTCTATCTCATTATCTGTAGTAATAGCCTCTGCCTCTGTAATAATGGGAGGATTAAATGAAAAGATGCATGTGGGTTGCTGAGTCCAGAGCCTCCACATTTTAGTCACTAAATGTTAGCTGTTGTTATTTTTAATTTTTTAATAAATTTATTTATTTATTTTTATTTATTTTTGGCTCCGTTGGGTCTTCGTTGCCATGCAGGGGCTACTCTTTGTTGCAGTGCGCGAGCTTCTCTTTGCGGTGGCTTCTCTTGTTGCGGAGCACGGGCTCTAGGCGCGTGGGCTTCAGTAGTTGTGGCGTGCGGGCTCAGTAGTTGCGGTGCATGGCTTAGTTGCTCCGCCGCATGTGGGATCTTCCCAGACCAGGGCTTGAACCCATGTCCCCTGCATTGGCAGGAGGATTCTTAACCACTGTGCCACTAGGGAAGTCCCTATTTTTAATTTTTATATGCATATTTAATTATTTCC